AATATCCTTATTTTATAATAGCCTAAAAGAGGATATAAAGGATAAACTCTATAAGGAGGACTACCTAGGTATACTAGACGAGTATATCGCTAAGACTATCTATATTGACAATTACCTCTATACCTGAAAGCAATAAAAAAAGGGATAGTAGAAGCTAGTAGTAGGAGGGAACCAGGCTAACGAAGGAAAGAAACGGTATAAAGGAACGTCTTATAGTATATAGCCTAGACCTATAGAGATCAATATAGTTTAAACTTAGTAGTCTAATAAATAACCCTACAATAAGTCTAATATCGTCTATTATAACTATAGGAAGAAGGGCTACTATAAGTATAAGTACTAAGGCCTATAGAAGCAGGGGTAATAGTCCCTAGTACTAGGATATAAAGCTACTATCATCGAAAAAGGTATTAAGTTTAAGGAAGTTACCGCTAGTAGTATTGACTAGGACAATATTGACTATGCCTATTATTAGGAGGAACTTGTCGGGAACTATAATAATAAGGAGAGATTCGGGTTTAGGAGGGAGGACGAGGAGTTCTTAGACATTTTAGAAAAATATAGGGAGAAGCCTATAAAATCTATCGATAGTAATGATAAATGCCTTTATACCAATGAGCTCGGGCAGATAGTACCCTACTTCGAGGGAACTAATATCTTAGAATATAGGGGCTAGATACTTACCTAAAACTCCTAGGGCTAGTAGTATACTACCTAGGAAGGAGAGAAGCCTAGACTTAGTCTCTAGTACCTTAGGAAAAAAGTACTCGAATCATATAATAAGATCGACGACCTCCGGCTATCGATTAGGGGGTTAAAGAACGAAGTTATTAGCCTATAAAGATAGGTCTAGGATAGGGCCTATAAATGACAATAGCTCCTAGAGTATAACGAGATCTAGGAGGAAGAGCTAGACTAGAGGTAGTACAAAAATAAGAAGCTTTAGAGAATTAATAAACGACTTATAGGACGAGGGTAACCTATACTATAGATAGTCGAGTGGTTAAAAGAATACTGAACTATTAACGTTACTAGCCAGGGAGTAGATAGGAGTACCCTATAATACTAAAAGGATTTGGGAAACGACTATAGGCCCTCTAAGGGGCCTACTAACTACTAAGCTTAGAAACTAAATGATAGGTTATATAGTATAGGTAGAACTAGTATAAACAAAGACCTTATAATAACCTCCTAGCTAGCCTAGTAGAGGTAGCTACTATCTAAGACTGAAGTTAGAATAATTAACTTTAGGTTACCGTTAGATAGAATTAACTATAGGCCCTAACGTTAGTAGATAGTAGGTCTTAAATAGACCTTATTAGTCCTACCTTAGTTAATAGGTATAGGATCCCCTAGAGAATAAAGAAAGAACCTTATCTAGTATAAGGACCATTCCCGACCTAGATAGTTAGAAGGGAAACCGAACCTCTTAACATTAAGGTAGAAGGGAAAACTACAAAGGTAGTGTTCAACATTATAGATATAGGAACCACTAAGGATATAATTTTAGGGTTACCCTAGTATAAGGAATATAACCTAGATATTAGTTAGAAGGATAGTAGCTACCTATAACTATATAAATTATAGAAGTATCTAACTAACAGGATAGGAAATATAGAATAGGAGCTATAATAGGGTAAAGTATAAGAAAATATAACCCCTATAGGCCCGCTATAAGAAGTAGTTAGTAAGAAATAATAAGCTCTAGATTCTAGAAAAAGCAGTCTATAATAATAGAGGAAGGTATAGACTGACTAGAAAGTTACTATTGTCTTAGTTAATGAAAAAGGGAAACTTATAATCGAGCAATAGGTTAGCTTAGTTAAGGTAGTAAGCATTGAGTATAGAGGAAAGAAGATCGATATACTTAAGGTTATAAGCATTGAGGTAGGGAATAATAAGTTTACCTACTATAGAGGAACTATAAAGACTATAGTAACCAGTAAGGTTCCCTAGGAATATAAAGGACATCTAGCGTTTTAAGCTAAGCACCTTAAGGGACTTCTAAAATATAGACCCTAGGACTATAAGATTAAGCTTAAAGAGGGAGTATAGCTAAAGTTCTTTAAAGTCTATTATACTAATAAAAAATAAGATACTAAGTTAAAGAAGTACTTAGACAATAACTTGAAGATTAGGTATATCCGGCTATCAATATTACCTACTAGATACCTAGTATTGTTCGTCCTAAAGAAGGATAGAAAACTCAGGATATATATAGACTACTAATAGCTGAATAGTAAGACAATTAAGAACTAGTATCCTCTACTACTAATCTTAAGGCTTTAAGACTAACTAGCTAGAGTATAATACTTTATATATCTTAACCTACTAATAGTATATACCTATATTTATATTAAGGAAGGGGATAAATAGAAGACGGCTTTTTAAATACCCTATAGGCATTTCAAGTATCTAGTAATACTATTCGGACTTACCAATATACTAGTAACATTCTAAGCTACAATTGACTATACTATCTAACCCTACCTTAATAAGTTTATAGTATACTACTTAGATAATATCCTTATCTACTCTAAGACACTTAAAGAATACTAGCAATATATATAATAGGTGCTTAATATACTATACTAGTATTAGATATTGGTTAATAAGGAAAAGAGCGAATTTCACGTCTAGAAAATAGTCTTCTTAGGTTATAAAATCTCGCTAGGAAAAGTCAAAATTAAACCCTAGAAAATCTAGGTAGTTATAGAGTAGCCAATACCCACTAATACTACTAAGGTTCAAGGATTTATTAGATTTATAAACTTCATTTAGATATTTATTCTAAAGTTCAGCAATATTGTATAACCATTATATAAACTTACTAAGAAAGGAGCAGAGTTTAAGTAGGGAGATAACTAAGAGCAGGTATTCTAGAAGATCCAATAGAGTATCTTAGAGGACCTAATACTCTTATTACTAGACCCTAGTCTATCCTTTAAGGTAGAAGCCGATGTATTAAACTTCACGATCGGAGGATAGCTTAGATAGAGGGACGAGAATGGGAAGCTATACCTAGTAGCGTTCTTTTTAAAGAAGCTAGATAGGCCCTACCTCAACTACCCTATCTATAATAAGGAACTACTTGCTATTATCGAAGCATTTTAGGAATAGAGACCTTATCTTAGCGGAACTACCTACCTAATATAGGTCTATACCGACTATAAGAACCTCAAGTACTTTACAATAACTAAAGTGTTAAACGGTCGATAAACCAGATAGGTAGAATTCTTATTGGAGTTTAACTTTATGATCAACTATAAGAAGGGTATAGAAAATGTATAAGTAGATGCCCTAAATAGGAGGACCAACTACTAAGGCAATATACCTGAAAACTCGCTAGTACTACTATAGCAATAGATAGATAGTACCCTTTACTATACCTTACAACTGGTTGAAGACTATAAAATTATAGCCATTTACCGATAGACAGAGGAAGAAGTACCTCTATAGCCGTTTATAGAATGTTATATAGTTTTTAGGGAAGAAAGAGAAGGACAGGATTTTCAGAGAACCGTTACTAGTAGGGAACGGGCTAACTAGGAGATAGACTAAAAGGCAAGTACCCCTGGCCTATAACTAAACGAGATAAGACTCTAGTATTATAATAAGGCCTATATTAAGGCTTAAGATTAGAAGGACCTTATACTCGAAGTCTACCAGTTAAAACTTAGGGGATATATAGGAATCGTGAAAATAGCCGCCAAACTTAAATAGCACTATAATTTCCTATACCTTAAGGAGAAGGTCAAGGAGGTTATTAACAAGTATAACCTCTATAGACAGAGTAAGCTAGGACAATATAAGCCCTATAGATTATTATAACTATTGCCCGTCGCTAAACGACTATAGAGCTTAGTAATAATAGACTTCATTACTAAGCTATTAGAATCTAGGGACACTATAATGTAGGTAGTATATAATAGTATCCTTACTATAGTAGATAGGCTTACCAAGTAGACCTACTTCCTACCCTATAAAGAAACCTAGATAGTAGAATAACTTATAGATACTCTCTACCGGTATATTACTTCAATTTATATATAGCCGAAAGAATAGATAATAGATCAGGATACTAAGTTCACCTTAAAGTTTTAGCAAGCTCTAATAATAAGGCTCGGTATAAAAAGCAAACTCTTAATAGCATATTATATATAGATAGATAGACAGATAGAATAACTTAACCAGATAGTCGAGTAGTATCTTCAACTCTATATCAACTTCTAATAAGATAACTAGGTCGAGCTACTACCCATTATATAACTTACCTATAATACTACCGAGATAGAGATAATAAAAGTTATACTATACTTTATAAACTTCGGCTATAAACTAGACCTATACTAGGGACCTAATATTAGAGTACCCTAGGCCACTATTAAAGCGGATAAAATGAGCTTACTCTATATAATACTTAAAGAGGAACTTAAGTTCGTAAGAACCAGGATAAAGAAGTTTTATAACTAGAAAAGGCTCGAGGGACCTTACCTAGAAAGGGGAGATAAGGTCTACCTTAGTTTATAAAATCTCAAAAATAAGTGACCTAGTAGAAAATTAGATTTCAGGAAAATTAGACCGTTCAAAATTGATAAAAAGATCTTAGAGAACAACTATACCCTTACCTTACTATTAACTATAAAGTTATAGATAAACGTTTTTTACATTATACTACTAGAACCTATACCTAAGAACTTAAGGCTCGATAAGGACGCTGAAGTAGAGGATAAAGAGGAAGAGTAGGATATAGAGGAAATCCTAGACTTAAGAATTATAAAAGGGCGACTTGAATATCTAGTTAAATAGTTGGACTTTGGACCTAAGGACAACTTATAGTAACTAGCGGAAAATTTGATCAATTGCCCAGAGAAGTTATAGGATTTCTACCGCTAATACCCTAGTCGTCCTATATAGCTAAAGAAGACTAGTTGAAACTACCATTGTTAAAAGAAGAACTAGGAGGACAATAGTTAGTAAAAAAAATATATATATAAGTATAGTTACAATAGGAATCGAACCTATAACCTAGTATAAACGATCTAGCAACCCTAAACCTAGGAATTCAAGATTGCTAAAATATAAAGTATATATATACTACTACTATACTATATAACCATTTCATTTATTAAAAGGAATAGAGGGATACTTATTTAAGAAGGGAAGGGTCGACTAAGGGAAGAGTATCCTAGAGGTCTAAGGGGCTAGCGGCTAGGGAAGAAGGATCGGACGGAGCTAAGGTAGGAACCTAGGAGGCCTCTATAGTAGTAGCCTCCTTAGCCTCCTTACACTCAATCCTCTCTAACTCTTCTATAGAGTTAATACCTTACAATATAGCCTATATCATTTTCTCGAACTATATATATTTTTATTTATATAGTTAGAGGACTTGCTCCTCTATAGCTATAAGCTTGTCCTCTAGCTTTTAGTATTATAATATAATAGTTCGAAGCTATATAGGAGAAATACTAAGGACATTGTAGTTTAGACGCTTAAAACGAACGTACTTAGTATAACGAGACGAATCAGCTATAGAGACCTTATAAGATTTAAGGCCCTTTAATAAATAAGAGGAACAAGGCTATATAATAGATAGTTTATCAGATAAAAGAATAATAGCTAGAAGGTAATTAGTATAAAGAGTTAAAGAAGATAGTTTCATTTTAGATATATAGCCTACTATCTTAGTAAGGTCGGTAAAGGAGGATATAGGAGAGAAAAAAAAAAAAAAAAAACGCTATACTTATAAGAAGAGACTAGAGCCTAGAGTCTTATAGCTTTTAGGATAAAGGCCTTCAAGGAGGGGCATCGTATTATAAATAACGACCAATATATTAAGGCTAATATATAGACCAGCAGGGGAGTGATTATAGGATCAAGGGAGCGACCGCTATAGTTATATATAGACCAGCAATAACGGGCCAATCAGGAATCACCAGGGGAGTGATCGTAGGATCGCAGGAGCGATTAACAGATTACCCGAAACACCAGGAACAAAAGATCGCAGGACGATCTCTACAATCAAGGTATAAAGGAACTTCAGGATAAAGAAGTCGTCAAGTATATAGATAACTAGCTAGTCACTTATTAAGGGAGTCTAGGACTTCCTTAGTAAGCAATATAACTTGTTCGCTACTAGTTACTACGAACATTAAGACTAGATCATTATCTTGTTATATACCCTTTGGCTATACCGAATTACAACCCTTACAACTTACCTTCAGTAAACCCTTTCAGAAGTGTGGTTGAGAGACGATTCGTCATAGCTATATACTAGTTCGAATCTACCCTTAAGGACTATATTACCTACTAGAACGTCGATAATATACTACTATATACCTAGAAAGTTTTCAACGACTTTAATAAACTTAAGGAGGAGCTATATAAGGTATTTAGAGATTAGGACAAGAAGATCTATATCTAAGATAGACTTGCCTAACTCTAGTAGACTAAATCAGCTATAACCTATATAACGATATTTCGATAAGACTCTATCAGGGCCGGTATTAACGAAGAAGGCCTAATATAGTTGTTCTATAATAGCCTGAAGGAGGACGTTAAGGATAAGCTATATAAGGAGGACTACCCTATAGCTCTTAATAAGTATATCGCTAAGGCTATCTATATTGATAACTACCTTTATACTAGGAAGTAGTAGAGGAAGGGACAATAGAGGTTGATTGTTAGAGGGAACTAGGCTAATAAGGGGAAGAAGCAATATATAAGTATATCCTATAGTATATAACCTAGACCTATAGAGGTTAATATAGTCTAGACTCGGTAGTCTAATAAACAGCCCTATAATAAGACTAGCATTATCTACTATAATTATAGGAAGAAGGGCTATTATAAATGTAAATATAGGAGCCTATAAAGGCAGAACAGGATACTAGGACAATAGTCCCTAGTACTAGGACAAGAAGCTACCATTATTAAGAAAGGAGTTAAGTTCAAGGAAGTCGCTACTAGTAGTATCGATCAGGACAATGTTAACTATACCTACTATAAAGAAGAACTCTATAGGGACTATAATAACGAGGAAAGGTTCGAATTCAGGAGGGAAGATAAGGAATTTTCGGATATCTCAGAGAAATATAGGGAATAACCTACTAAGCCTATCGACAGCGATAATAAACACCTCTATACTAATAAGCTTAGATAGACTATACTTTATTTTAAAGGAACTGATATCTTTAAGTATAGGGGCTAGATACTGACCTAGGATTCCTAGGGCTAGTAGTATACTATCTAGGAAGGAGAAGAACCTAGACTTAACCTCTAGTACCTTAGGAAGAAAGTACTTAAGTCCTATAATAAGATCGACGACCTCCGGCTGTCGATTAGGGGGTTAAAGAATGAAGTTATCAGCCTATAAAGACAGGTCTAGGATAGAGCCTATAAGCAATAATAACTCCTAGAGTATAATAAGATTTAGGAGGAAGAGCTAGATTAAAGGTAGTATAAAAATAAGAGACTTTAGAAGATCAATAAACAACTTATAGGATAAGGGTAACCTATACTATAGGTAGTTAAATAGTTAAAAGAACATTGAACTATCGATACTACTAGCTAGGGAGTAGATAGAAGTGCCCTATAATATTAAAAGGATTTAGAAAACGACTATAGGCCCTCTAAAGGGCCTACTAACTACTAAGCTTAGAAACTAAACGATAGATTATATAGTATAGGTAGAACTAGTATAAATAAAGACCTTATAATAACCTTCTAGCTAGCCTAATAGAGGTAGCTACTATTCAAGACTAAAGTTAGGACAATCGACTTTAGGTCACTACTAGGTAGAATCAGCTATAGGCCCTAATATTAGTAGATAGTAGGTCTTAAATAGACTTTATTAATCCTACCTTAGTCAATAGGTATAAGATCCCCTAGAGAATAAAGAAAGAACCTTACCTAGTATAAGGACTATTCCTGACCTAGATAGTTAAAAGGGAAACTAAACCCCTTAATATTAAGGTAGAAGGGAAAACTATAAAGGTAGTATTTGATATTATAGATATAGGAACTATTAAAGATATAATTTTAGGGTTACCCTAGTATAAGGATTATAACCTAGATATTAGTTAGAAGGATAGTAGCTACCTATAACTATATAAACTATAGAAGTATCTAACTAATATAATAGGAAGTATAGAATAGGAGCTATAATAGGGTAAAGTATAAGAAAATATAACCCCTATAGGCCTACTATAAGAAATAGTTAGTAGAAGATAACCAGCTCTAGATTCTAGAAAATATAGTCTATAACAATAAAAGAAGATATAGGCCGACTAAGAAGTTACTATCGTCTTAGTCGATAAAAAAGGGAAGCTTATAATTGAGTAATAGATCAGCCTAGTTAAGGTAGTAAATATCGAGTATAGAGGGAAAAGGATCAATATACTTAAGGTTATAAGTATCGAAGTAGGGAATAATAAGTTTACTTACTATAGGGGAACCATAAAGAATGCTATAACTAGTAAAGTCCTCTAGGAATATAAAGGATATCTAGCATTTTAAGCCAAGTACTTTAAAGGACTCCTAGAGTATAGACCCTAGGATTATAAGATTAAGCTTAAAGAGGGGGTATAGTTGAAGTTCTTTAAGGTCTACTATACTAACGAAAAATAAGATACTAAGTTAAGGAAATACTTAGACAATAACCTAAAGATTAGATATATCTAGCTATCGACCTTACCTACTAGATACCCTATATTATTTATCCCTAAGAAGGATAGGAAACTTAGGATATATATAGACTACCGATAGCTAAATAGTAAGATAATCAAGAACTAGTACCCTCTACTACTGATCTTAAGGCTTTAGGACTAGTTAGCTAGAGTATAATACTTTATATATCTCGATCTACCGATAGTATATACCTATATTTATATTAAGGAGAGGGATAAATGGAAAATAGCTTTTTAGATGCCCTATAGGTATTTTAAGTACCTGGTAATACTATTCAGACTTACCAATATACTAGTAACGTTCTAAGCTATAATCGACTATACTATTTAACCCTATCTCGATAAGTTTATAGTATACTACTTAGACGATATTCTTATCTACTCTAAGACATTCGAGGAATACTAACGATATATATAATAAGTGCTTAATATACTATACTAATACTAGATATCGGTTAATAAGGAGAAAAGTAAATTTTACATCTAGAAGATAATCTTCTTAGGATATAAAATCTCGTTAGGAAAGGTCAAGATCGAACTCTAGAAGATCTAGGTAATTGTAGAATAGCTAATACCTACTAATACTACTAAGGTCTAAGGGTTTATTAGATTTATAAACTTTATTCGGATGTTTATCCTAAAGTTTAGCGATATTGTACGACCGTTATACGAGCTTATTAAGAAAGGAGTAGAATTCAAGTAGGGAGATGCCTAAGAGTAGGTATTCTAGAAGATCTAATAGAGTATCTTAGTAGACCTAGTACTCTTATTGCTAAACCCTAACCTACCTTTCGAGGTAGAAGCTAATATATTGAACTTTACAATTGGGGGATAACTTAGATAGAGGGACGAGAATAGGAAGTTATACCTAGTAGTATTCTTCTTAAAAAAGCTAGATAGGCCCTATCTTAACTACCCTATTTACAATAAGGAGCTATTTACTATTATCGAAGCGTTTTAAAATAGAGACCTTACCTTAGTAGAACTACCTACCTAGTATAGGTCTATACTGACTATAAAAACCTTAAATACTTTATAATGACTAAAGTCTTAAATAGACAATAAACTAGATAGGTAGAATTCTTATTAGAATTTAATTTTATAATCAACTATAAGAAGGGTATAGAAAATATATAAGTAGATATCCTAAATAGGAGAACGGATTACTAAGGTAATATACTAGAAAACTCGCTAACGTTATTATAATAATAGATAGATAGTACCCTTTACTATACCTTATAATAGGTTAAAGACTATAAGATTATAGCTATTTACCGATAGATAGAGGAGGAGAAAGTACCTTTATAACTATTTATAGAATATTATATAGTTTTTAAAGAAGAAAGAGGAGGATGGGATTTTCAAAGAACCGTTACTAGTAGGGAACGGGCTAACTAGGAGATAGACCTAGAGGTAAGTATCCCTAGCCTA